TGACCCTCGTGATCCAGGTCTGCCGTTCTCCAGCTCTCTTTCGCAAGCAAGCGCTTATAGCCTTATAAAAATATTCGGTTTCACAACAATAATATGTTTCCAAAGGCATCATCTTCACTGGCAGAAAGAAGTGCCCATGCTTTTCCGCTTGTGGTGATAGGTCAGTCGTTGATTGAGACGGTGATCGCGTCGGTGATAATATTCATTGAAGTCCAAGCGGGTGCACAGCAAGTGGAGATTCTGGTCATCATGTTGAGACAGCATCAGCAAGAAGGACTGGACCATATCCTGGAAAATACGAAACATGTATTAAAATTATTATTTCTTGTGAGAATTCTTGTCCACATACACAGAATATGCACACAGCGTCTCTGAGAGCAAGACTGATCAATGTACACATTTCTGGTTAAAGTACAAATCATTACACATGCCTCTGATGAATGGCACTGTCAATATTATGGAATCAATACTGCAACTGGTTACTTCCTTTTCTCTGATCCTATACTACCAGAAAAATCATGGGTAAAATATAATAATCAAAATCAAGGGATATTACTTCATCAGGATTTCTTAAATCAAGAATTTAATGTCATTTCCTGTTAGCTCTTCCCCATTTTCTATTTATTTTTGTGCAAAGCAATTCTGCTATAAATTCAGAAAACATTTTGAAATATGATAAAGAATGCAATCTATTTTATGGTCCATATGGTAATAATTTTCAAATTTACTTTACTGTAATGAATTGGCTTTTGATCAAAAGGGCTGAAAATACTTTTACTGAATGTTAACAAAATGCAATCTGCAGTTACCTGATAAGTCTGTGTGTTAATCCTCAAGTCTGACTTTAATTTTGGTACAACTTTGGTTAAGAATTCTTTCCTCCTTCGCTTCTCGACATCCTGCTGCTCTGCTGTTGTACCAAATTCACCTGCTTCTGTCTTGGCCTGACATGACAAAGAGCAAATAAATTGTGAGCAGATGAATTATGGAAAAAAGATCATACCTTTTCATGGATAGTTAACATCAGATATGAAATACTTTGGTGACTTTATTTTAAAATGTTCATAATATTTGTGAAATGTATTTTTTTTATACTTTGCAAATATGAAAAGGTATTTTAATAACTGGTTCTGATGATCTAACCACACCAGCTGAAAATCTGATTGCAACAGACATTTTCCATACACTGTATTACAGCTAAAATCTAATCAATAACAATATCAATCCTAAATCTTCTTTCAGTAAGTTCATTATCAAGATACATAATGAAATTCATCCTCAAAAATCTACTGTAGTCAGGAAGGAGACTTACAACACGATGCAATTCCCAAAACTGAAAATATATTCATACCTTGATTTCGGCTTCGGCATTCTTTCTAGCATTCACCTCTGCTGATACAGCCAGGGACAGCCTCTCTTGCAGCCCTCGCAGGTTTTGGATCAAATTGTAAAAGGTTCTGAGGTGAGTTCTTACTTGCTGTGTAGGAAGGGAACAAATTGAAATGTAGTGATAAATACCCTCATACAGCTTCTAAAAAAGAATTTTGTTGTATCATGTGAAGGATGACCATTTATCTTAAAATGCAGCAACACTCACTTAAATTTATTGAACAAATACATTATAAAAAATATATAACACAACTGAGTTTCTCAAACAGAAATGAAATTGTGCTCTACTTCAAAAAATAATGCAGTGCAAACCTTTGATTTGCTGTCGAGAAGTGCTCCGGCTACAATTCTCTTGAGGAACTCATTATGGGCTGCAATAACATCATCGAGACTCTGTGCTGACTTGAGGTTAGTCATTAGGCCATGCCAAGAGCACTCAAGAACCTCAAAGGTCATGTAGTACTGCATTTGGTGGACTAGATGGACCATCTCTGTTGTTAGGAGCTGGACTCCATGAAGCACAACACCCAATTCTGTAAGATGGAAATAAAATTGATATAAAGAAGACATGAAAATATTCCTTACACATATATGAAGTTATGGGTGTGTTCTGTATTTCATATGGAATGTCATGCTGCACAGGAGACTGACCGGGTAAATCTCGGCAGAGCTTTGAAGTAGCTGCCTGCTCTTTCCAAATGTCAGACAGGATCATCTCCATCCTTTTGTCTTTCCAGAGTGCATTGAACAGCATCAAGTACTGTCTCATACAATCAGCAGTCAGCACCTATGAAAGCAATGACTGTTAAGTGGTATGCTTAAAATACTATCTTAAAATTCTAGACTGAGGAAGCCCCTCTATAAAATTCATTTAAATCTGATTTCTTCAATAAGGACGCTATATAAAACTATCAGCTTTACCGTTCCAATTGGTCCATCTACATGATAGTCCAAACTGAACACATCCCATCCAAGGTCACCGGGAGAGATTTCGAGCAATCTGACATCTAGACGTTCGAGGATGTCTGGTTCCTCATACTGAGCATTACTGGCAGCCACTGCAGTCTCCAAGAGGGAAGACAGATTATGTGGGTACAGGTAAGTGGCTGGTCCACCCAACTCTGGTCTGAAAATGAGAGGCAAGGTAAGCTATCTTTGAAGACTAATTTTATAGCCAAAGCAGTCTTGAATTTAGTATAGAAATGACAAAAAACTAAAATCATTTAAAATTATCAATAACACCTTGTCTTCAATAAAACCATTCAAATACTCCCCGAATCCCCTACTTACGTAAGAACCTGCATAAGGTAGTGTATGAAATCCCCCTGGCCAAGGAGGAGGTACCGACGTAGAGCACGAAGATGGTCCATCAGTTTGTGTCGTGTAAGGATCTCTTCTAGGACATGGCGAGAAGTTTCTCTGAATGTCAGACTAACTAGATTGTCAAGCTGACTGTTTTCATCTTGAGTAAACAATGATTCAACTGAAAAGAAAGCAGATATTGAGAAATTATGGAGTAAATGAAAGGAAAATCAACAATTTATCCTTGTTTAATAACCATTTCCAATATCTAATAGATATTTATTTAAAAAAACAAGTAACTTCTCCTCACCAGTTGTTTGTTGAAGAGCAGACTTGATAGCATCACGCCCTGCTATCGGAGCACGGAAATGACAGACATTACGAAGGAAATTGAGAGATTTACCGGATGCAAGTACCTTCTGAGCCTGACTCTTGCTAATGAAAGATGGCAACATGCACCACCTACCAAGAGATCCAAAACATGAAGTCATAAAAAGGTTTTGCAGTGGTGCATGCAGTCAGATATATCATCATTCCTTCAAGAGTAGAACCAATCACAAAATGAAAGTTACAATTTCATTAACAAAAGCAGTAAATATTACCAGAATTAGGAAATTTCCATAATTAAATTCCATGTCTAAAATAAGTGAAAAAACAGATATGTAATAACAAGTGTATATACATATAATTTTGATTGGAATAGGTAAACAGTATATTCCTCAGGAGCAATAAAAAATACATGTTTGATTAAAACAAATGTACAATATTTCAGGAAGAGTGATCAGAACCAAAATAAATCTCTAGTAAGCCAACCCAAATCTCCCTCACCTTATTGAATACTTGTCCTGCCACAGTTTGTCATCAGAAACTGTGTGATCTGAAGCAATGAAGAACTCGTGGTGAGGATCCTCCAGTGTGCCATCTAAGAGCCACTGAGTGAGCATAACATACAGAGGTGTGCAGGCCATGTTCAGGACGTGACGGACAACTGTTCTGTGTCCTGGATCTCCATGGTGCATGTGCTGTTTGGAAGTGAAAGGATTTTGACCTCTAATCATTAAACAGGAATATTGGAAATTCTACTCGGTTTTATCATCATTTACAATAAAATAAACACATCTTGGCTATAGTGAGACAAACACACATATTACTGAGAAACCTGGAAGTAATTTTCTAACACTAAACAAATTATCATTAATGCAAAGACGAAGAAAATGATTTGTAAACATATTACACATTCACAGTACTTATTTATCTTTTTCCCACACACAAACACACACACAAAAAAAACTTTAAAGGTAAATATACTTTAACTGCTGGTTTCATACAAGATCACATCTGAATTCTTCACATTTCAGAAAGGAGGAAAAAGTTATGTGCAATAAAACATATTACTGACCTGATATATGGCAGAAACACAGGCACCTCCGTACACTTCCCGTGCCGCATGAGTGAGCAGTGCCAGGGCCTTCAGGTGAGTGCGGGGCTCCAGTGTCCAGAGGACCAAGCGCCGCAGCGTGAGGCCCCCCATTGGCTCTCCCATTGGAGTGTCTCCACCTTCTTGAATCTAAATGGAGGAGTAATCATATTTTGATTTCCGCATTTTTTCAATTTGAGGCTTGCCTAAACTATACTGTATCGTATATTTCTTATTGCGATGCTAAATTTAATCAAAAGTATGAAAAACAGAACATTCTGACATAAGAATCATAATGAGCATGATAAATATTACTCCAGATCACTCCTCACTTAAATATACTTAAATATCAGACATTCTTACCTGGGCCTCCAGTACTGCAATCAGTCTGCAATACTCATTCAGTTCCTCTCTTAATGCCATTACTAACGACTGGTTCACTAATCCTGCAGCTGTTCTGTCAGTCGTACGCTCGCTTCCTGTTCCTCTTCCACCCCACTCACAGAAGTTTTTGACTTGATTATATAACCAACCAACTTCTGTCAGCTTCATAATCAGTTCCTTCTGGCTGAGTGACAACCGCACCTATACAGACACAGTATCACAATTATCAGAGAGATTTCTTAAGATATTCTTGGTTGATCAGTGCCTTAAATAACAAGAGAAATTGCAAATCGTGGCTGTAAATCATCCATTTCTGAGATAAAGGAAAGAAAAAGGGGGGAAAAAAAGTAAATAAATAAACCACAATTACAAGACAAGAAATGTCAATCTCCTTACCTTTGGATCTAACCTAAAGCCATCCTTGTTGACATCCATCTTAATGATCTTCCCTTCAATACCCTGGAAAATGAAAAGGACTTCCCTGATGAGCACCTTCTCTGTCACTTCTATCAATTCTGAAATGCAAAGACAGAACAAAGTAAGTTCCATCAATGTCTGTGTTTGGCTATTTTCTAAGTTTTCTTTTTTTTTTACCCCCATCAATACTGTCTAGCAATGCTGATCTGTTGATTATTACTTCACACTGAAAGGGCTGAGTATTGTACTTTTTAAATCATATCTGTTGTGTCCTGACTATTGTGTAAGAAATCTTGCATACTATGGATACTGAATATTTAAAAGAAATCATGATCGGAGAATTGCTAAATATTTTTAGAAGTATGTACTTCAGTCACATAGCTAAAATAACATCTTAATTCTAAGGAACATCTCATACCCTGGTTCAACTATCATATTCTACTCGAGTGCTTGTGTCTTCCTTCGTTGCTTCTTTTAATCTACTATTAAACTACTCTGAATACAGATTCCAGGATGATTCCAAAACTGTTGTCTCATTTATTCCAATAAATCTAGTTTGCGCAGTGTTTTTTTTTTAATCACAGCATCAACATGGCAGTATTCTTCCATTCATTCTTCACTGTAAGTCTTTTACATTAAGATCCATCACCTTCAAGATACGCAATGCTCACCTTCCTTTGTGCTTTTTGTGGACTGCTTATGGCTATTTTGTGCAAACTGTAATCTATCAGCGGGAGCCTGTTGCTGAAGCTCAGCAAATGGGGAGTCGGGATTGGCAGTGGCAGCTCCTGAAAAAAATAATATCAATAATAATAGTAATAATAATAATATATAATAAAAATAATAATAAAAACAAACAGAAAGGAAGAAAGAAAACTGCTTTTAGAGTGGAGAACCAGCTAAGGTGAACTAATACAAACAGCAATAGTAGCCCAATGTAAGCACCTGATGTCTAAGCCTCACACCTATATTCTTTTTAATCTTAAAAAAGGGTATTTATGATTTATGGTTGATAACTTCCTGTCAGATGCTATGATACAGATATTCCAGGAAGTGCATTCAGCAAATTATTTCCTTTATTAACCTTGGAAATATGAAGTTTTTGCACCAAAAGAATAGCTGTCTGATTATTGATGGAAGAAGAGGAAGAGGAGGAGGAGGAAGAATAATAAGAAGAATGTATATAAGAATAGAAGAGGAAAGGAGGAAGGAGGAGGAGAGGATAGGAGGAGGAGGAGGAGGAAAAAAAGAAGAAGAAGAAGAAGAATAGAAGAAGAGAAGAAGAAGAAGAAGAAGAAGAAGAAGAGAGAGAAAAGAAGAAGAAGAAAGAAGTAGAGAAGCAGATAACAGATTTTTCTTAACAAGCAAACGAAGTATTTTTCTCCAATTGGATCTCATATTTCTCTTTAGAACCTTTTTTCCCACTTGCCTTCATATAACAAAAATAACAAAACTACATGAAAACACTGCTTTTATTCCTACCCTTGCTTGGCCTTTCTTTGCTTGTCCATCTTTCCCTCTATAATCAGTTATCTATCCATCATTTATATACCTCCTTATCATTTACCTGTCTTTCTAATGGTTTGGGCAATACTGGAATGCAAGCAAGCTGAATACCAGAGAGCAATGCACCCAGTTTCACAGTCTGAGGAAATTGCTGGAATTGGACACTAACTTTTACAAACACATATTACATGTAATATACAATCTTTTAACCTTCCTAAATATACAACAATAATAACAACCACCACAACCACAAGAAAAAGAACAACAATAATGATAAAGTCTCTGTCTCTACAAACATATTTGTAAGAAATGCATACCTTTATACATTGCAGCAAGGCGAGACACTCTGCTGCTGCCTGAAGTAATATCTGCGCCTCCATGTCTGGTAGACTGAACATTTAGACTCGGCAGAGAATTCACTCCAGGTGGAACTCTGGCTCCAGAGGGGGCAGTAGGTGAGAGACACGCATCCACATTATGGAACAACTTGGGGATAGGGAAAGCCTCTTCGGTCTGATGGCCGTTAGTCAAGCCATTCTCCTGTTGAAAATACCAAAAGAACATAAACAAATAAAGGAAAGTAAAATGAAAACAAATCTGATAAAATCAAGTCAAACTATCCTGCTCTGTAATGGCATCTAGAGATAACATAAGTAAATATATCAATCAAATACATACATTGATTTTACTGTGGTTACTTACATGAACTGGTGATTGTGCATTTGATAATGTTAGTATTCTTGTGCTGGAAAGCGAGGTATTATCTTGACTCAAAGCAAGGAAAAAGGAGAGAATGCTTGCTTTGTTTCGTGGCACTTCCTGTAAAAAATGAAAAAAGGTCCATGTTAATAATTTATACTCAGGTAATCATGTCCACTCTCTCTTGATAATGAATTAGCAATATAGTTTCCTTCTGCTTTGGAATCCATAAAGGATTGCAGACGTTTGTTCCGTAACCTGTTATCTAAATATGATATATATATATATATATATTATATATATATATAAAAATATATATATACATATATATAATAATGACTGAGTATCAACAATGTGTTCTAAAAAGTGTCAACTAATTTCAAAGTCAAAAGGGTCAGTGCCCATCAAAATTTAGCAGTGATTCTCATTTCCTTATATCAAAATCACAACAAATCGAATTGAAGCTCGTTTGCATTAACCAAATAACATGCAACTGCCAAAACTATCTCCAACCTAAACAATGAAGCCTACTTTAAAACTTTTTTCACTGTAATCCTGTTTGGTTTTCTGTATAACCTTCATGACACTAAATGATGTATATTGTGCACTGGTCAGAAATGTTTACTTTTCTCTAAGCTTTTATTAACCTTATTTTCTTCTCAAAATAATTCTATTCCATATGTATCTTTTAATTATTCATAAAAGATGTACAGTGTATTTCACTAACATGTTACAACCCTAAACTATAAGATATTTCATATTTCAAAATTGGAATTTCTGGAGCACATAATAATGAAATGATAAGCGTAATGCTATCAGATATATAAATCTATACCTAACCTTTATGACAGCATCCTTTTCATGTTTAATTTTGTTAAATATTAGTGTTGCTGATTCAAAAAGAAATACTTAAGAGGCTAGTACTTTGCTTACTGTAGCAAATTGTGGTCTTCTTTAGCTTCCAGTTTTGTTCCAAGGAAAAAAAGTATGCTCATAATCACTCAACACAGTTTATCATAAATGTTCTGACAATAGTGTATGCCAATATTTCATCTCATTTTACTTCTGATGAAAAGTCATGCTCCTCCCTTAATCAGGTGTAGATGGACCCAAGCGTGGAAATATTGGATACCTCAAACTGGCCTGATTACGTGAATATCGGAGTAAGTGAAATATGATCCCATTCTTTGAATATACAAATTATCATGGTCTCAGCTTTTATTCTTTAACTTACGACCAATTCACTAACATGCAAATGTAAAACACTTACTGATTTCATTAGTTTGTTTATCAACCCGGAGAAACGAGCGGCATCCTCCAGCCTTTTCTCCCGTACCAAACGACGGCGGATCTTATCAGCAACAACATTGTGATCTTTGGCAGCAGCTCCAGACCAGCCTTCATTTAGCAAATTTACGGCAAGTTGGAAATGTGAAGTTACACGATCTGAAAGAAAGGCGAAGCCAGTGTGAAATGAAATGGGTATAAACAGTAGGCATTGAAATGAGGGAATGCAGTCTTTGGGTATATGAATGCAAATTTCATAATCAATGAAAAGGCTCTTTTTCAGAATTTCAATAGCTTACTTTGTCTTTCTCTCTTAGTGCAGGATATATACAAATAAATTAAATAATGTTTTCAATTTGAATACAAATAAATTACATAATGTATGCAAATAGTTCATTTGATACAAATATGAAAGAATTTTTTCCAAACGTGTCATCCCCTGGAATAATGCAATATATAATTTTGAATAAAAACTAATTATTCAAAAACTAATGATCAATTTATAAACAATTTTTTTTTTTTTCTTTTTTCTATATCATTTCAGGAGCACACTGCATCCATAGTCAGAGCTGACATGTCTTGGTATCCCAACTTGGAAAAATATATATATGTATAAAGTATGAGGAGACAAGCCTAGCAAGAAATATATTGTCAAAGTGACTTAATTAAGATAGTCACATTAAGTGCAAAACAAAACACATATAAACCAATCTTTAATAATCACAAATAGTGCGGTGTGCATCAAACATTGCAAATAAATAAATAATATATTATCATAAAATAAAAACCAATGATTGGTCATACTACATTTGAACCAGCCAGTCAAAATCATTTTTCACCTCTTTTGATCTAATCTTACCGAAACGCCCCGATCATTTGTATCTACCTGAAGCGATGCTAATGCCAGATACCGCAAAGGAATCTTAGTCTCCAAAAATTACGGAACTCTTGCTATTTCGTTGGCAAATTATTGTCACAAAGAGTTCAGCCCAAATTCTATTTATCCAGAATACATATAGTAAATGTTGACCTTTGCCCGAATGCCAATAATGCGAAGACAACAGCAATCATTTGACCCAATACTAAAGGATAAATGACTGATAACAAATCAATCTTTATTAACAACTTACTATAACAGTTTCACAGATGAATAACGTCTTCAAATTGTCAATCCATCCATTCCATCAAATGTTTCCCCGGACTGTAGTGCTAAGTGCAACTGAAGACTTGCCAAATTTGTCTTTGTTTTACCCTTGGCCAAGTGGGAGATTCGGTTCCAAGAAGTAACACGAAATTCGGGACATTTTGGAAAGTCAGACGGAAAATTTAGGACGTTTGAGAGTCAAGAAAAACAGGAGATTCGGGAAACTCTTAAAAAATCGAGAATTTCACCCAAACCACTTATGAAATTCAGGGGAATTAAGGAAATAAATCCATCAAAAACGAGAGAAAAAAATCATCCATATCGACCACCTCCCGAGAAAAATACCAAAAGACCTTCAAATTCCCCCCGAAAACCGTCCATTAAATCAAGATAACGATGTCAAATAACGAAAGAGGAGACGAAATGAAGGCAAGTGCGGCAGAGGACTCGTCCCT